CATCTCATTTAGTTTATTTTCGAATTCTTCTCATACTTAGTTCCTTAGATAATTGATTATAATTGATTCTTGCTTAGTAGAAATTCGAGTCTATTTAATTATTTCTGAACCTTAGTCTCTTGGGATCCGACCCTTACTTGCCAGTCTACATTAGTGGGTACTATAGTGGAGCTTCATGTAGTCAAAACTCAAAGCTCAAAGGTAAGGCATTCTGCACTAATAGGTGAAATGGGAAGATTTACCAAAAAAAAAAATACAAATTGGCGACATCAACGAAGTATTTAAGCACATTAAGGATCAGATTCGAAATACAAATGAATGATATAATATTAGGTTTTGTCTAATTTCTAGCTTTGATTTGGTGAATCGCTAAACATCGCCCGCAAATTACCATATAAAGCCCACAAATATGACTTGGTGTGACTTTATTGCCCTTTTCCTTTTAAAAAAAACACTCTACTCCTCTCTAAAAAAAATCAGAAAATCTACCTCTCTTAAAAAAATTAATTACGACAATGTTGAGGCGGCAAGGGAAAGAGGTGGCGGCGGCGACGGCGGAGGAAAGGCGGCGACCTGGTGGCAAGGTAATTATTTAATTATTATTTTTTTTTAAAAAAAAAAAAAAAAGGCGACGGTGGCGCGTGGTGGGGCGTCAGGTCCGACAGCCAACGCCGGTGGCGTGGCATCTGGCTTGGAAGCCCAGCCACCGGACTGGCGTCCAAACCAGAAGCCAGCCCATTGGTTGTGGCGTCCAGATCTGGCGCCTGTGCCTATGGGTGGGCGTCCTGTTCAGGCGCCTGCCCACTGGCTACGGCTGCCGGAGCTGGCGCCACCGCCAGTGGGTGGGCGTCCTGGCCAGGCGCCCGACCCTTTTTTTTTTTGTTTTTTTTTGTTTTTTTTTGTTTTTTTTGTTTTTTTTGTTTTTGTTTTTGTTTTTTTTGTTTTTTTTGTTTTTGTTTTTGTTTTTTTTTCTTTTTTTTGTTTTTGTTTTTTTTATTTTGCAAAATCAGAAATTTAGTTTTATTTAAAATAATTTTGTTTTATGTCTAATTTTTTTTTGTTAATGTGTCTCATTTTTTTAAAAATATTTATCAACTTTAGGTGTTTTTTTTATATATCGTGTATATTTTATTTTTATAAAATCAATTTTTTTTTGTGTTTATGTTTTATTTTTTTTATGTTTGATGTTTAAACATTTTTTATGCCTTAATTGATGTAGTATGTGGAAATTGTTTGTGTTAATGTGAAATTGTTTTTTTATTTAAAATGTGTAATACATTAGGGTATTATGTGTGTATTTGTGTTTGTGTAATATATTTGTTTTTTATTTTTTATGTTTAATTATTTGAAATAATTTTTATTTTTTTTGGAAATCATAAATTTTGTAATATATTAGGGTATTATGTGTGTATTTGTGTATGCCGTATAATATTTTTCTATGTTTAATTAGTTGAAATAATTTGAAATTTTTGTTTTGTGTCCTATTTATTTATTATGTCTTTGATTTTTTATAATCTTTATTAATTTTATGTTTATAAACATGACGATATGTTGGAAGTGTTTGTATTTTGTATCTGTAGGTAGTTATTTATTTTTCTAAAAAACTTTTGTATGTTTATACATTTTTAAATTTTTTGTAGAATTCACTGGGTCGTCATGGTGCGGGGGAAGAATGTAGAGCTTCTTAGTAGAAGCTATTCAGTGGAGAGGTCGGGGCATAGACATGTTAGATCCCGTGGTATTTCGGCCTCGGCTCGTAGAGAACGGATCCACCGTCGAGATGAGGATGACGATGACGATGATGATGCTGAGGAAGGTGACCAGGAGGAGGAGCAGGAGGAGAACGCATATGAGGATGAGGATGTGGATGATGGGAGTGGACCGTATGATGATTACGGTCCATTCAGTCAGAGGGTTGATGACATGTACGAGACACATATGGTGGAGGTGCGTAAGGGTAGGGGTGGTAGGTTTGTTAGTAGATCTGGCACATCATCTGCGTCCACTATATCTGGGGCAAGCAGGAAACGGTCGAGGGCCCTTAATGATTCTTGGGTTGTTAGGAGTGAGGTGCTCGGTGGGCCTGTTGACGGGAGTGTGATTATATGCACATATTATATTCATGTTATTAAATTTTAAAACTATGTGCAGGTGAACTGGATGCCTTTCGGCCCGAACCCTAGTGTTAGGGTACCCAGGACCTTGTACACGGGACTCATTCAGTATTGTGAGATCGTCGAGGCGTACATGCCCCAGCGTTGTCTTCGCCAGCTTGGATTTGTCCAAGTTGTCCCTCCTCCCCCGGCATGCCCGATGAAGGCGGTCCGACCTGCATCGTCAAGGGACTACGTCGTGCAATGGCCGGATATCATGACTGGGACGTGGGACCAGTTTCCGATGGTGGCCCTCTTATGGACTGCGGAGTTGCAGAGGCCGCCCTCTGGGGTTCCTCCCATGTGTGACCACTACTACATGGAATGGTTCAACCGGTATTCGCACCCGAGGTTGATCGCAGATCTCGACCACAACGATGATGATTATATGCCACCGCCTACTGCCATGGAAGCGGTATGTCTCATAAAATATTTATCGTTGTTTTTTAATTAAGTTTTATATGTTGTTATTGTATTTCATCTTTTATTTTTTGTTGTATGCAGTGGATGGGAAAGATAATGCAGGACGTACAGAAACTCTCTCTGGAGAAGGACAGCATGAGTGCAACAGTGAGAGCTGTTGTTGATAGTCTGGAACAGACCCTTGCGCATTGGGAGTCGGCGTCGAGGAGGGATTACTGATGGTTTTGTCATTTTATTTATAGAGCACTTTAAATATTATCGTTTTAATTTATTAAATTGGACATTATGTTTTAAGTTTGTAACATTTTAGATTGTTCTTTTAGCTTTCAACTTTGACATATTATCCTTGCTGTTTTTAAATTTTGACATAATCGTTCGTGGATCCGCGCAACTTGCCCATGCAACATATAGAATGCAGTAAGCAATACAATATAAAAAATTAATTTTCTCATTAAAAGAGCAACGTACAAATAAGGTTACATAGGAAGAATGTAAACATGAAAAACTAAAATGCAGCTAGGGTGTTCCATTCGTGGATCCGGTCATGAAAAACCTGAGTTGCTGTCTGACGTTGTAGATGTGTCTTCGGTTTGGATGGTCTTCTGGAAATTTCTCTAACACAGATGCTAATATTTTAGCAGGCTTGACTTGAGCATCACTCATTTCTTTCACAACTAGTTTCGCAGCAGGACTTAAGCCGCTCAGCTGTCGATGACCCTCTTCATATACTATCATCTCATGGTTGTGATACCCCCATTTAGAGTAACCAATCACTTCCCAACCGTCACGATTCCGTAGTTGTCGGAGCTTTACTCTGAACTCACACCCACAACCTTTCCGCTTTGTATCAAACCGAGTGGCTGTACGAAAATCTCTTTCTTCTCTTTTGCGATAACGGTCACATCTCAAAATGCGATCCATTCTACCATCCCGTTGAGATTTATGAGTTACTACTACTAAGCAAAATCCAGCTGCAATTGCAACCTGTTTTGCCCAATCAATCGCTTGTTGAGCTTCTTCGAATGGACCATCATGTCCAAATATCCCACTGTAATCATTTCCATCTCCACCATAATCCTGCATCAATTATATATTATAATAAATACATTTAACGGATAATACATATAATTTCTATATTTACACAGAATTAACACAAAAAAAAAACATAATTATGTATAATATTATTCATACACATACACATACAAATTTTAAACACAATCATTTATAAAAGTCACATAAACAATTAAATATTTTGGTATACATTAACACAAATCTACTCACTACATACATAAACACATTAAATTATTAAACATAATTTAAAAAAAAAACACAATTTTGAATTTTCAATTTGAAATAAATTTAAAAAAAAAAAAAACCATTTCCAATTTTTTTTTAATACAATTTCGAATTGTCAAACTTAATTTTAAAAAAAAACCTTTCTCAACAATCAAACTTAATTTTTAAAAAAACCCAATTCGAATTTTCAAACTAAATTTTTAAAAAATACCATTTCGAATTTTCAAACTTAATTTTAAAAAAACCTACTTCGAATTTTCAAAATTAATTTTAAAAAAACCCATTTCGAATTTTAAAAAAAACATTTTCGATTTTTTTTTTTTTAAAAAAAAAATATAGGTGGCGTCTGGCCAGGATGCCAGTCTGGTGGTCTGGGCGTCTGGGCTGGACGCCGGTGTGGTGGTTCTGGCGTCTGGCTTGGACGTCCATGCTACGGTAAGGGCGTCCATCCTAGGCGCCGGAGCCACTCCTACGGTAAACCGTGAATTTTAACGGTGACTTACCTCGTTTTCCGTCGATGACGACGTACCTCCGGCGTCCCCCGCATCTCCGGCCTGCCCTCCGGTCTCCCCCGACGAGCCTGTACGGCTCCACATTTTTTGAAATCGAGATTTGTTCAATTTTAGAAAATGGGCATAATTGTCACACCAAGTCATATTTGTGGGCTTTATATGGTAATTTGCGGACGATGTTTAACAAATCCCTTGATTTGAGGTTTTTTCGTTCAGTGCTTTACAAACTGTATTTTAGGTTTTTGTAAATTAATGGAATTTACGAAACCAGAATTTTTTAAAGCGAATTACTAATTTACTCTACACAATTTAATTGTGAGTTTCATTTAAAATAATCTTATAGTTTGATTAATTTGATTTATGAATGGAGTTGCGCTATGTTTGGCACTATGTGAAACTAAAGGTTTTTACTTGCAACAAATATCTAGCCAAAAATCGAGTACCATAAGACCCAATCAGGTAAAATTGGTTATCCGGGTCAGGTCGTGGGCCAACTTATTAACAAGTCGAGAATCCGGGTATTCGCTTTTTCAAAGACCCCAAAACAAGTACCCAGATCTGAACACCCTTAATTAACTTTGATTATGAAATTTCATGGGAAAAATTCAATATGTAATTGAACTTTCATAACCAATATAGCTCTTAAATTAAAATAGAAAAAGCAATAAATTATTTACTGCTTTTAGAATATATCATTCAAAAGACCAGAAACACAAAATTGTAAATATTGGCAAAATTGAATAAATCACCTATTCAAATGTTACACTATATCTTGATATAAGACTACAAAGGTTGAGTGATGTTTCATTGACGATTCAAGTTGGCCGGAAATAACCAACTACCAATTTAACATCATAAGAAGCACTCTATGTTAAGCTCCACGTATGAACAGGGATCTGAGATATCAAAGTTGCTCAAAACCTGAAACCACAGGTTTAAAACAACGATTATAAAAGTGTAGATCGCAATTACCAAGGAACACTAACCACAGGAAATACGAGTCTATCTAAAGCTATATAGAGCTTCACTTGTATCGTGTGCTTCTTCAGGCATGTAAACCAACAATCAATACACATTACTTACAATTTTGTAAATAGCTGCCAACACATTTGCAAGCTTTTATGAGCTATGAATAGATTTTAACATTCAAAAGCAGAAAGCAGCGTATGAATCATATTGGTAGATAAAGTTTTTTCATTTTTTTTAAGAAAAAAGGGAAAAAAAAAAAAAAAGAAAAAAAAGGAGAGAGGGTATGTCCCCTAAATTGTACTCTAGGTTTCTATGTAAGATACAGATGAAACCATGACACGAAATCAAAAACTTCAGGATAAAGACTGAAACAACATAGAAACTCAATCAGCTTCATAACATGAAAATAATCTAGACATACCTCAGGATGCACAATGCCAAAGGAGCCTAAGAGCTTCCCTTTGTACATGATGTTGGCTTGTCTTCCTGGAAGAAACTCAGGGTTCTTCAACAAAAAAGCAAACAATCAAAACATAAAAAATAAAAAATTAACACTAGGTAAAATTCAAATTGCAGTGCCACAAAATCTTACATCTGCACGCTTTATGTAGTAGCCAGATTTATCCCCTTCTGCAACAAAAGGAGTGCCAACTATTTCCATAACTCTGTCAACTAGGGAGTGTATAATCTGTAAGGCCCAATTATTAAGAGAGCATTAGATCTGCTGATAATAAAGACCTGTTAACTCCAATGCAGGCATTAAGTCATTAAAACAAAAGAGTTTAGTATGCAAGCTAAAAGGATCAACTTTTCAAGCCTCAAAAAAATTAGATAGTCAAGCAGGATTCCTGGTAGACTTGTAAGGAGTGAGGTGCATTTAGGCACAAAGGGTCTGTAAAATCGAAGCACGGAGGTAAAAGGCAATCACATCAGCACGAGGTAAGTTTATCTAACATGAGTAAATGGCAGCAACATGTCTCATACCTGTTTCAATCTACTGCAGAACATATCTCATGATAAGGGAAAATCTGTATGAGATCTTCTGGCAATTACTAAAGTACCGCACTACATGCAGATTGGGGATTTTAATTGTGGCATAAGCTAGCTATTAGAAAGTAAAAAACATTATTTCATTACTTCAAAGGAATAGCTTCCAAAAAAGTTATCTTGAACATAACATTTAGTACTGGAATTCTATATGGTATTGACATGAAATATAGCCTTGTATTCAGAACCCCAAGTCCCACTTCTTTTATTTTTCCAAGTTCTTTCAAATTTCTACAGACTTTAATATTTCTTACTTAAAACTCCTAGCGAAACTCCTCTTGTTGGTCCATAGCTCAAAAATAAAGGCATGGTGGAATTATCTTATGCCACAATTAAATTCTACTTCCAAGCCTAGTGAAGCTCATCTTTTTTTCCAAGCCTTATAGTTATCATTCAAGCATAAGTTTTGAACATATTAATTCAGTAGCTATAATATGTTTCTATATTGCTCATGTTCACGGATTATCACATTAAATCTAAAGACCTACTCAGAGTTTTACACGAATCTAAAAATGACATCTTGACCCAGGGCTGGCAATTCTTGATCTGACCCGATAATCCGTCCTAGAGTTTCTAAGAGAACCTGATCCCAACCTAAATTGAACCTGATTTGATCCATATATCAATTTTTTAATAATATTAAGTTTTACACTTTCCGATAGTTAATTAGCACAACTAGAAATAAACCCGAAATTTAAACCAAATCTGACCTGTTGGCCCAAATTGCCAGCCAATGACCCATTATTGCACCCCACAAGAATTGCAACGTCACTAATCAATTTGAACTATTGACAAGTCAGAAGCTCACCTCAAAACCGGAGCTATTACCACAATAAAGTGCTGCAAGTTGACGAGAATTTCGGGAACCAACATCTTTTGAATCATCCAGGATTGCTATATCACCAACTTCAAAGATCTAAAAACATAAATTGAAGAATGATGACAAAGGAGAGCCAAAAGTACAAACTACACTATATAACTAAATAAAAGCATGACCAGACTTTGTTACATAAGCACAACAGATTACCTTGATAGGCTTCCGATGATCTTTATTGTGCCCAACAGTTTTCAGTATACCAGCCATAAGACTACTACGCACCACCTGAAATAGCAAATATGATAAGATAACATGAAATATATGTGGGCCTGGATATAATCACATGATGAAAACATAAATATTCATATCATAAAACAGGCCAGGAATACAACAAGAGGACATTAACAAAATTGAAAAGACAAAGTGACAGACACCATAGTGTTTCATAAAGCACTATATGCCCTAAATGAGAGTTGAAACTTCACACCTGGTTAAAGTGAGGTACTACTCATTTAATCGAATACACAGAGTCGTTCAAAATCACATATTATTAAAATAATATATTAAATCACTAATATTCCCACTATGCGTCTTATCAATGCCATGACATCAAAATTGAACAATATAGTCCATGTTATTCTTTTTATAATATGAAATGGTATATGAACTCCATTATTGAACACCTCTATGACACTTTTTCACTGTACATAAAAAGAATTGATGTGACCAAGGCGTTAAGACTCAGATTTGACAAATCGTTGCCCATGTTACAATGTTCTCCCTAAATTAAAAAGTCCCGATATGAGAAAAACCATAATATGCAATGTTTGGTAAAACTAACAATTGAAGTCAGTGGTATGACAGAAGTTGCCAACCAGACTTCCTAAATGGTTACTAGGACAAAACTCCTGCAGTAGCCATTGCCAGTGAAGTTTTCAAAGATTGATTTTCTTCTCTCTGTAATCATTTCTCCTTTCTTCCTGTTACTCTATCTCCAATTCTTTCTAGTTTCTCTTAATGTATTTATTGTGACCCCCCTGAGAAGCTGAACATAAGTTTTCACATGACAACCACAGTACAATCCTTCATTTCTTTGTTTCTTCTTCTCATAGTAGTCCACTAGCACTTTCTTTTGCAAGTATTATTAAACCATAACAGGTTCTTGTGGGTTGGTGCTTGTGGTAGATGTTGTAATTTTATAGAGGTTTTGAATGTTTACAAAAATTTAATTTTTTTTGCCTTCAATTTAACTAATTTTGAAGCTTGTATGCTGAAATTTTATACCATAAAATGTATTAAGGGAAAAAAAAAAAATAAAAAATAAACAATACATGTATGAAAAATTTTATACCATAAAATGTATTAAGGAATAATTATTTTTTATACCATAAAATAGGGTAAAAAGGTGCATCTTGCCAACGAAAGCTGGCTTTTTAATTCTAGGCACATTAGCGAATATAACAACGCCAATTATCACAAGTAATATTACTTCAATGCATGAAAAATCTAATGAAGGCCACAATACATGTATTTGAAACTTAGAAACACCAAAACTTATCTATACTTAGTATTTATAAACACAAACCATCATCCTCGACATGCCACATGTACATTTTATTTTTCACCAATGCCACATGTCACCTCATTTAACCTTTCTTTTTTTAACCCCCTTTCTCATATTAAAAAAAATAAATAAATAAAATAAAATAAAAATAAAAACACTAGCTTTAATTCAATACATGTATAAATGTTGTTTGGTTCACTTTCTTCCAAATTAATATCTTCTACAATTACATTCAATTTTCACCCATTCTTCTCCTTTATAAACTACTCATTTTCCAATAAAAACATATTATAAAATAAAAATTTATATTGCATAACTACAAACAACCCGTGCATTGCACGGGCCAGGACACTAGTTACATGGAATACTTGAAACCCCTACCCCCTTTTCCAAATAAAAACACGGATTATTTTGAGTTCTTGACACATAACCAAGGCATTATGTCAGCAGTGAATGAGCAATGAATATCTCATAAACTGAAGTACAACCTCCGTTCCTAAATGCTCTTGTCACCTATTAGCACAAGAATTAAAGCACTATAGAGTTGACATTGTAAAGGTAAGGTAACAAGTGGGAAAATGATTGCCCATCATTGGCCAATAATACAAATAAGTCAAATCTTATATTAGAAAATTGTAAGTGTGTTGAAGGCCAAAGGAGTACAAAATAGAAAACAGCTCCTTGCCAAAAGTGAAATAAAGTAAAAGTCTAAAGACCATTAAGGAGCAGACTTATGAAGAAAGTGTAAGGAACATTTAGGATGAAGGTAGTAGTATTCTTATAAAGTGTCTTACTTGTGGATAATCATTCTAGTCAGAAGCCCTTAAGAGTATATTAGTACGTCAAGAACACCAATCTAATATGACATCCAATATACACAGCCCGACAAGTAGAAAACATTATTTTAAAAAAAAAATTATTCCCTTGGTGTTTTCAAATTATTTCTTAGAGAACAAAATCTTGGATTTTATTTGTACCATATTCATATTCCACAAGTCAATTCACACAGATAAATATGCCACAATGGGAAAGTCTAACTACTTTATTTCATGTGATTTAAGCACTAACCTCAAAATCAGAAGAACGAGGATTGGCAATAATCACTGCAGTTGATCGGTCATCCTTACGATTCAACATGGCAAAATTCTCTTTGTAAGAGCACAATATCCATGTCAAAACTTCAGTGAACCCATTCATTGCAATCTGGGGGAACCAAAAAAAAAAAGGAAGTATATGAAATAATAAGAATCAGCTGTAGGTTCATGAAGGAGCAAGCATAAATTTATAAAAAATTAAAAAAAAAAACAAATTAAGATAAAGAAAGAAAGAATACATAGACAATTAGAATTGCTTAAAAAGCCTTGAGCAATTTTGGGTATGCATACAGCAAGAGTGATGCAAGCATTAACTCACCCAAAATTGTATTATTTAATTCATGCTTGAGGTTTACTAACAAATCAATCTCTGTTCCATGTCAATATTTTTTCTAATGCAAATAGTTAAAATCTCACTGCCCTATGCCCCCTATCACATGTAAACTGCAGTTAAAAGCTAAGCACCATCCAACCCCATCCAATTGGTTTGCTAATTACCATGTTAGCATGAATATCAATCTTCATAGAAACAATTACAGACAATTTCCAGTTTGCAACCATGATCAAAGCTACTACATTGTTTCTGATATTCTTACTTGAATACCATGTACTGGGTGGTCCGAGAATATTAAAATGAAAATAGGCCTACATGGATACCTATCTTGATAAAACTCATGTCCTTAGCAAGTATTATACCAAAAGCTGTAGATTGAAACATCACTCCTCAGCCAGAACATGACAACAAGAAGCCGACCAAGCATGGGCATATCAACAGACAAATATATAATTACCTCAGATCTGATCATATCACTTAGTTCATTTAATGCAAGTGGCTTTATCGATGCCGGCCTTCTTTTTGGGATTTCATTGTATCCAAATGCAATAGCAACATCCTAAAAACAAAGAGAGAAATCTTATTGTTGTTTCCCAAATCTAATGCACACTGATCAGACAAAATTAGCTACACACCTCCATCACATCACAAGGATGAAGAACATCGCTTCTGGTAGGAGGAACAGAAACACATATATTGCATTGATTAACAGCTGGATCAGACTTCTTGGCATGCAATTGCATCCTTCTCAACAACTGAGTAACCTGTGGGACACAAATTAATAAAATAAGCATCCTGCCTCCATTCATAAAAGAGCTCATATTATATTTAACAGGAAACTGCAAAAGACCAGCATTCATTACATTAAAAAGAAATAAATAAATAAGTTCATCCAAATTGTTAAAAATAACACTTTTAATAATCAAGCTTCTTTCAAAAATAAAAAATAAAAAATCAAGCTAAGCATGATTATTAAAATGCAAATTCAATGAGGGGGTCATGCAAATTCAAGGAGGGCTAAAAGAAAGTGTTTAACGAGTAATTAAAATTCAATTTCACAGCTTAAAGTGCCTTCAATTGTTCCTCCCTTGACTTCAATTAAAACTTATTGATGTGCTTGTCCTTTACTTGTCAAACCTAGTTGAGATAGGATTATCTAGGTTTCTTTTGTTTAGAGAACAGAATCATGCCAAGTAAGTGACAGCTAATACGATAGAAAATACGAAAATAAAGAAAAGTTAAATGGCTTTGCAGCCTTTGCTCCTGTTGGGTTGGCAAAACCTTGGGTTTTATATAATACTTGCCCCGTTCTATTATGTTCTACTCACTTTGATTTATTCTATTTATAACATCTTTTTTTACAATCTATCTCTTTAACTCCACAATAATTACACCTTTCAATACTTTTCCTCACTTTATTCACCTTTTTCTTAGACAAACCCACCTTATAATATTCTCTCTCTTACTTTATCTTACACCTACTCACATTATTCAACAATTTCTTAAATTGCGAATCAATAATAAGTGAGAAGAACTTAAAAGAATAGAGGTAGTACAAGGGGAAAGTTGAAGTAAGAGTATGAGAATTTTCGCTGAGTATGAAAACACACCATGTTTAAGAAAGGGTAAACAAATAAAGTTAACTGATGATATATTATAAGTTTACAGGAAAATTCCAGTTACAATTACATATCAGCTATGAAAACACAACTACAATTATTTTCATAATGAAAATGTTTTTTTGTCCATCAACAGAATTACAATTGTACGCATGTATAAAATAAAAAACAATAATAGTATCCAAATTTTATGTAGCATGTTGAGTTAATGTAAATATCCATGAAAATTACGATCAGATTTGAAAGGGAAAATTCATAAATTGTTTTTTAAATAAGGATAGAAATGGAAATGATGGGGAATTATTACCTGAGAGCATGAGATAAAGATGATCAGAGGAAGTATAGATGGATTTTTGAGAAGATCAAGAGGTTGAGAAATGAGCTTTAAGTAGATCTAAATATGAAAAAAGAAGATGGCTGAGGTGTGGGTGCGTCATTTTGTAGAGTTGTTATTTTGCCTTTACTTGCTTTGGAACGTACAAAAATCTAATAGGCTTTTTTAAGGAGGGTAAGGTTCATAGTTTTTGTAGTAAGTAATCGATTATGAATTAGAATTCTGTCAAAAACTATCAGTAAAGTGATATTCTTTCTTTACAAATCAAAAATTTGTATGATTAAATTTCTAAACTATGACTAATATTTTTTAGAAAGACTATTTACTTGTACAATATTAGCTATGTTTATTTAAAAAAAACAACATATAACACTATATTAATAATAAACAAAATACTAGTACCAAAAAAAAAAAATTAAAAAAAGTTACTGTGCATATTGGTCATTTTTACACATTAGCATTGATTTGATTGATTACCAAAATATTCACCATAAGAGCAAAATAGAATACAAAGTGCATTGCATAATTACATTAGAATAAGAACAATAAGAAACCTAAGGAATTCTTATGGTAAATATTGTTAGTGTAATCATTAAATTTATAATATTCTATGATTTCCTTCATAGCTATTTTCATATTAGTACATTTTTCCCATAGCAATATAACCATGTCGGACACGACACCCAAATCCGAGTCTATGCAACATAGGTTTCAACTATGGGCAATGGTCACCAGAATTTCATTTTTTTAAAATACAAATTGGTTAAAACCCCTAATTTTTTGTACCAATTTGATTATATGACGAGAAAACTACGATGTTCAAGCACCAAAATGACAACTACAACTGCCAAGGTTAAAGTGTAAACATCTTAAAGAAACGACAAAAGATGATTATCTCTCTGGGTATTGACGTGGTCAATTAAAAAGCAGGATGTTCAAACACCAAAGAAACAAATACAACTAGCATAGCAGCACCTTTGAGAGGAAAAACAAAACAAGATCATCTTTTATAAGAAGGCAGTGCACATCACCTGGTCTGCTTCTAATGATACTCCAATTGCGTCATTGATGTAAGACAGAGACACTTCCATATCATAGCATGACAGGTCAGGACAAACATATGACTCTCCATCAGAATATATAACTTCAACTGGTTCAACTTCAAACTTCTTCTCACAGTAGCCCGAGAACATAGTAACCTGAATCAACAAAAACCATTATCAGCCAAATCTCAATGAGTTGTGAAACCAAGACAATAATCTTTTTTGCATACCATAGTATTCAAAACAATCTTAGCCTTCGTCAAATCAGTAGCTGTACATTCAATGAAAACATTCTTCGTCTTCAAAGTAATAGCTGAGTGTGCCCCATTTATAATCGGGGGTAAAGACAAAACAGTTCTGCAGATCACATACTGTTAATTTCAGGATCATTGATGTAAAAAGATATCTCAGGTAAATGGGTCGCAAACTATTTCCACGGTTTATAAACTACGAAAAATATTGAGTCATGAAGGGCAACTTTTTTAGCACAGCAAATTATAATCTATAAATAAGACTCAACCATTTTAACAACACCTCATCTTTTTTTACTGTACTATATTACAACAAAGAAAGATATGAAATTGAAGAAGAAAAGGTTGCACAGATTATACCTGTCATGGTCATATATAACCGGAAACACAGGAGAATTCTCTATAATATGCAGGTATTTCTTCAGCTTCAAATCGGACTGTCAAAAACAATAAAGAATAAATACAGATAAAGACGCTCTTTGAAGAGCTTATGAGGAAATACAGCAGAAGCTCCAGCAAACAATTACTCTAAAATTATAAAGTAAAGCTACTCATGATTATTAGGCTTCTTACTCTGCTATGACCAAAGCAACAAGGGATAATTACCTTATAGAACTCCATCAATTCATCAGCCCTGAATGCATTTACCTGTAAAATGGATTTAAAAAAGAAAAAGAAAAAAAAAAAGAAAAAAAAAAGGAAAAAAAAAGAGAGAGAACAGATATGAACTTATCAGCACCTCAGAACCAATATATAAAAATAGATAATCAAACATACATTCAAAACAGAAAAAGGGAACATTAGCAATTGACATTTACTGTGGTTCGAAACTTTTGTAGAGGCCCCCTCAATTATTATTTTCAGATTCCTAGGTCAAGAAATTACTTTTCCACAGGTGTTGCTCATTCAAGTAAAAATTAGGAATTGTGAAGGACCTTCCTTTCTACATATCTTCATAGTTTATTATTTTAAGGTTCCCAAACACATTGAAAAGGTCCCGTGTGGATATCCTATGCATGATGTTCCATTACCACATAATTCTACAAAGGTGGATAAAAACTTTGTACTAAAAAGTAATGGGGAAATGTATGGGCAAAATATAATTTTTGCAAGACTATATAAGACAATGAATGTAAATTACGTAGTATATACAAAATTGTTAGAAGTAAACATCTCAAATTAATTTCAAGATAATCCGGAAGACACAGAACTTCTTAGTGCAAACTCGTATATAGCAATAATAGTACAACACACATTCAGCATAACTAATGTTTCATATGTGATAATTTCAGATTTTGAATACTTGCATAGAGGTAACAGAAAATTTAGTACTAGTAGATTGAACCAGTACCTGCTTCAAAGGCACAAATTTTATTTCTGGCGGCAGAGCAGCCTGTGACAAGATTAAAAGAAGACAAAAAATAATAAGTACTTGCAAAAATAGATAGTTCTTGTACTAAGCTGCAACCTTCCCTTGATAAAACATTTTATATAAATTAGCTTCTTGCCTCGCCTAGCTAGTTATTACATCTATATGTATTTACCTATAATATTCAAACAATGCAGCTTAATCTCAAAATATTCCTCCATATAGTGTAATTGATGTTTTTTAAGTCATAAAGGAAAGAAATGAGGAAAGTATAAACATATAAAAATCAAAGTCAAATAGAACTAAATTGAAAGAAAAGCAACAAAAGCCACTTAATCATGTTATTCTGACAGACATTTAAAATGAAAGAGTTTGAAAGCACAGTGCACTTATTCCCTCCCCGTGTCACTTTATTGGCAAGGCGAGGGTAAGGGAAAAGGGGGGTGGCTAAGAGCCATAAAGCATGGAAAGAGTATCCACATCAAACACTTTGACATTTAACTACTTATTACAGTAGAATGGTTATACACTAAACATAAACAATTATATCTTGCACTAGGAGAATATGTGACAAATACACAAGTCCAAAAATCCTATAACCTCATTTGCACAGAGTATAATCTAGAAACATCAAAGGCAAGTGCCAACAAGATGCATCATCATAAACCAATACAGCAACCTTAAATATCAAGTCCAATACTTGTAAGGTAATCCAGCCAACTATTTTCTTTAGATATAGGGAAAATTTATATGATTAGGAATGTTAGCAAAAGCAGACTAGGAGTCCTCTAAGTAGAAACCAGAAAAAAGAGGACAAAAATAGAGACATGCCCAATCACATTTAACATTTGCTCATCCTGGAAAGCCTTTGTAACATAGACACTCACCTTGCAAGAGATGAGAACCCATGTCAGTCCCTATTACCAGGGCCGTAGAATAGGGTGTGCCAAGTGCCCTATTAAACAGAGCCCCAAAATAAAGAGGTCCAAAACTAAGAAAGAACCTAGTATTAAAAAATGAAACACAGAGAATTTTGCATGATTATTATCTAGCAGTAACAATCTAGTGCAGTTGGTACTTGTTTTTGCAAGCCATGCACAAGGTAGGAATTTGAATCCCAACACAAGCTATTTTTGCCTCTTTGAATCACGGAATATTTTGTTTTTTTCATTGGAAATAACTTTGATGTTCAAATTTAGTTACAAGTTCTTTATATAGCCATAAAAATTTTGTACATTTTATTTTCACATCTTCAACTTTTTTTATTTTTTTTGGAAAAGGTTATTGCAATTTTTTTTTATATTGGCAGTTTATTTCTTTCAAATAGGGGCCTTATATAATTAGCTCAGGCCCAAGAAAAATGTTAAGATAGGCCCATGAAAAATGTTATGATATTCTAACCATATCAACTCAAAGATACAAAGAGTAAACACATGAATAAAAATTATAAAAAGATACAATCTGGTGTCCAGTGTTGGAAAAGGCACGCTGAGGCGCAAGGCATTAGGGGTTATGTGCTTTTTGTAGTCTAGGCGAGGCGATTTTGATGAAGCGCAGCAAAGGCACGCGGGCACACCAAGAAGCAGCTTAAAACACACCCCTTGAGGCGCACAACAATGTCGTGACAATAGACATAATGTGTTGATCGCGGACCGTGTTGTGGATGGCACGATAATCAAATTCTTTTGAGTAATATATAGAAGGTGTAAGCTAATAGGATAGTTAAGTAAACTATTAGAGGCTTAAAGCTAGCTATTTTAGGGAAGACGTGGAATCTTTCACTACAGCACTGAATACCAAGTAGCTTTTGAGTGAAACAAGGGATGTAACATTCAACGTGGGGTGATTGGGGTTGGAACGTTTAATTCAGATGAGATTGTGGGGTTCTGAAAAATGCCATACTGAAATTGAAAGTCCGTTACGAAACGGCTTAACCGAACAATGGAGACTTATCAACACTTACTATCATTTAAGACATGCATCACTACCAAACAGCACCTTTAGTCCATGAAAGTTTTCTTTCCCCACACCGCCAATCTATTCTTTGAGAACTTATCAGGATATATTAAATAGAAAAGTGGCCCATAAGCCCTCATAATGAAGCAACTATCTCCAAATGGACTACCGTTGATGCTTAGACTCTTCATTGAACCAGCCATTGACACGACTTGACACGGGATATGGGAGGTAGAAAATGAATTAGACACTTTCTAAACAAGATTTAAAATAAATTAGGGTAGCTAATGGCGCGATGCGCGCGCCATAGCTAGTCATGTTCGAAAGCTCTTTCGATTTAGCTTTATGTCACAACTTTAGTTGAGTTGTTGGTAGGATTAATGAGGGAAATTATATGGAATGTACAATGTTCTTAAAAGTTAAAAAAATGAGGCAATTAAAATTAATATGGGTTCCACAAAGAAAAAAAAAACAATTAATAAGGGAAAATAAGTTTAAAAAAAAAACACTTTAGAAAACAAAATTGTCCAAACACTATTCATAAGAATTAATTCAAACTTTTTAAAAGGTAGGGATAAAAAGTTTAGCCATATTTTTAAAAGGGGTAAATATGTAAATAAACATTTTTAGGGGCATAATAGTTTTTACACTATTCATAAGAGTTTAGTCATACTTTTAAAAAGGTAGGGAAAAAATGAGATACATCAAAATAAATATTCAAGACATTATGGATTTTCTTCCCCTTGTTTAGGGAAACTTGGTATACTTTACAGGAATCTACATCACTCTAGCCAACTTGTTTGGTAATGATTTCTCGAGTTGCTGGAGGACCTTAGGACTACCAAGTTTATTTTTCTCTTCTCTAATCTAACATCACTTGTTTTTGTGGCAGACATGTTGTTCTTCTTCTTTACTATCCCATGCAATGTACAAAAAGGCACGCCTTAAGCGCTGAGGCGCTGGGAGATTAGGGTAAAGTGCTTTAAGAGGTGCACCTGAGGTGCTTGAGGAACACTTCAAGCCCACCTTCACAAATTTTTTTAAATTGTTTTATATTGTGTGCCTCACTTCAAAGAGACGCGCATTGCGCAGCAGAACAACCTTTATCACCTCACTGTGCCTTGAACTTTTTTATACATTGATCTAAGGTGAAATATAAGAGACAACTAGGTAAATTAAATTGTGTGGGGCACGGAAGTGATAAAGTTAAAATTAAGAAACATTAACTTCTTCCATGTTGTGGCACCTTTAAGTTTCCCTATGCAGCAGATCTTTCCTATACTTATATAACTTGCATGATAACTTGTATTTCCAATAAGTTTTACAAAGTGTGAGTGGGTGTGAGATAAAGTAAAAGAGAGAATGTAAAAGGTGGGTTTGTATAAAAAGAAAAGGGGGGTGAATAAAGTAAGAGGAAGAGAGGTAAGATGGTAAAAGGGGTTTGTCAAAAATAGAATAAAGCAAAGTGAGCAGAACATTTAAAAAAAAATTATAAGAAAAAACGACTTAAAATGGAAAGTGAGTAGAACAAAAAAGATCGAAGAGAATATAATAATTATATTTAAACTTAAACGAACTTAATAGGGCCTAAAAATTTTCAACAAATTCAACACAATGCTTTTTCCTTCAATAAAGCAGTGATAAAAGATAAAGTTCATAAATTTGACCTTGAAATGTCAAAGAGAAGCTACGGAGCAAATAAATTGAAATTAAGGAAGTAGTTTATGTTGGAAAAATAATATTATAAGTCATTTAAGTTTCAAATCGAGCTTTCAATTCTTGTCAAAATCATGCTAGCTAGTTTTGGATAAATTTCAAGTCTTGGAAGTATAACACGAATAATTAGTAGCAACCATGTCTCCTACCACCTTCTAGAACCCAACTTATAATTTTACTCTAGAATTTACTATTGAATTTCCAAAAGAACTACCTAAGATCACCAAAAATGTTGCAGCTACTATAATCCAAGCAAAGACCTTTTGTGCTATAAACTTTAAACAAAATAATATTGAAATCATAATAATGGGATAATGTTGTTATCAGACTTGTTACGTTAAGGCATAAATATATAAGCAAATTCAAAGAACACAATTTAACAAAAAATTAGATGATAAAATATTTAAACAAAGCTACACCTAACGCATTAGGAAATTAGTTGAGGAAACACTATTTTATACCTCATAGGAGAAAGGGCCTTGAATAGTATCCAAGTCATGAGTCCCAATAGCCACCAAGGTTCTTCGACTGTCAAAAGAATATAGATATGAGCCCTCCATGTTTTTCAATAAGAGAACATTCTTTGGCATTAATAACATATTGCACTATCATAGTTATCCACTATATTAATAAAAATACAACTATTAACACAGCAAGTCAAAATGTCAGTCATTTCAATGTTTTTTTCTAGGTTTTTAAAATAATCGTTCTACAACAATCAACAACCTGCCTCACAATAAACGCCTATCAATCCCATTAGTATTTCCAAATAGATATATGCTAGACTTCTGAATTTAACAGTTAAAAGTCATCTTCAACCTGATACTTCCACTTTAAAATGTGCCCATACTAGCTTCAACTTATAAGATCTCTGGCAATTCACAAAATGTAACTTTACAACTAATAGATTGGCTTTCAAAAGTAAATCTAGTTGACTAAATGGACATCAAAAGAGATCCACATTGTAAGTGTACCTCATATTCACTTTCATCTTTCGGTTGTTACAGATCCAGAATACACACAAGTTTAAAATATCCTAAGAAATAACATGATTTGCATGTGATTTATATTTGGTACTTAAATTAGTAAATAGTAACATTATGTTAATAGTATCATTGACACCTACTATTGTTCAAGACAGTGATTTATATTGAATCCCTATTCAGCTGTTGATATGATCTTGAATTTTAGGATTGCTTAATATTCATATTTGTTTATAGAGACTGTGATAATACAGTGATTAATCACAAGCTTTGATTCAAGCGATTCATCAAATTGTATACTTAAAAGAGTATTTACTAATGACAAATTATTATGACATTATTATTAAATTATTCAAACTTCAAACAATGGAGTCATGGGTTCAAGTATTTCGAGTCCCCTCTCTTTACCACCCTCCAAGGTTGTGCTTTAAGCCTTTTATAAATGTGAAGGCTTATACGATTATCTCATGTGAAGAGTGGGCAAGCCCTGCCACATGGCAAAGCAATGAAGACATTCGATGTGCAACTCTTCAATTTTATCAAGTAAAAGCCATCAGATCTAAAAGCAATAGCAAAATGAAGAGTCAAACAGAAAATAACCAAAGGGTATGGAGTTAGAAGGCTCTGAAGCCTCTAATGCTAAAGTTAGAGATGGTATACTCAGATTTACCCATGTTTATACAGGAGCAATGAATAAAATAGACCTTACAAATTCACAAATCAATCCTGGATAAAGTTAATAACATATCTTCATCAATATAATGAAGTAAGAAATTCACAAACAACACAAAATTTTCAAATCCTCACCAAAAAGCCTTTCTTTATAGTTGAAATTACTTTCTATCGATTACATCACATAGTCAGTACTAATTAGTCATGTTTTTCAAAAGTCAATTGGATGGGCTAATGGACATATCCGTTTTTTTCCAATTTCCTTTTGTTTGCATATTGTCTCTTCAGCAGTGCTACCATAAAAGCACTCTAAAAGTATGCACATAACATAGCCATAAAAGGTCTATAGCAAACAAAAATCAAGGACACTTTAATTACCGGCATATGTTCTGATGTAGCCTGTCTTGAAGATCAATGAAGCTGTTGTATCTTGCTTCGTCAAAGGTAATACCTCTTAGAACAGCACAAACAACAAAAGGCCGGATTGATAACTGCAAATGAAAACAAAATAAATAAAATCCATCATACAGATAAACTCATGTCAATTAGACCGGTAAATAAAACAAATAACTTCATAAACTAATACCTCGGGTTCCGTAGGCACATCCTTTTTTGGAAAACTTGATTTTACATGCATTTTCAACATGGATTCACGAGTAACATCAGCGAGCGTGTATCTTGGAATTTCTTCACGCTCTTCGAAAACCAAAAGGGCCTGCGCAAGACCCTCAAGGCAAAGCAAATCATACCTACATGTAATTATACATTGTATGTTCAAATGACCCTTAATTTCTAGCAAAAAAAAAATCAAAAATTATACAGATAATTTAGTAAAGCTGAATGTCAATTAAGCAACTTGATTAACAAACCTATTAGCAGGCACATCAATTTTGTAGATGATTTCTTCATCCTCGGTCGGCCCTTCATCTACAATATGCTTTTCTTTCCGGATAATTGCTTTCTCTGTTGTCTAATTCATCAATCAATTGTATACAATAAATAAAACAATTAAAAATCACCCAAAAAAAAAAACAAATTCAGCAATTATACAATGAATTATAACTTACTATATCATCAAGCTCTATGCCAAACCTAAAGCACAGATCTTCAAAATCTTTATCTTCTGAAATTTGCATTAAACAAAAAAAATCAAAAATCAAAAGTTGAAATAGTTGCAAAATAATCGACATTATTAATTTCAGGTAAGGAAGAAATTAAAAGGTGAGCCAGTTAACCATAGGATTGGCGAAGAGCTGAGAAAAGGCGGTCTCTACCAACACCAACAGTAGGCATGGTTGAGGGTGCGTTGAAGGTTTTCTGCGGACAAAAAACCAAATTAAACTCAGAGGTCTAATTTCACCGTTGAATTCGGATTGTGCAATACATAAGCAACCAAATTTGATTCAATTATCTCATAATTTTATAATAATTTTGTTTTCAAAATCTTAGTATTTAGAACCAATACTTGAGATTTTCGAACCGACAATTGAAGTAGATGAAAGATAAACCCTAGATTGTGAAATTGATATAGTGATTACAAAAAGAAACAACAACTTACCTCAGAAGCTGCTTCAATGGAGGATACAAGTACTTCAATGGAGAACGTCAGGTGCGATGTTGAAAGTACAATCGTCTTTATAGGGTTATAAATGGGTCAAATCCGCTAAAAATATATAAATGGGTCGGGTTTTTACACGATAGTCTAATTATTGAATTTATGAGACCTAAGAGCATCTTTAGGCCCGATTCACTTCACCTTTAAAAAATAATACTTCGTATTAAAGAATAATAATTTCAGTTTAATGAAAATAATTTCAATTCATTACTTTAAAAAGAAAATACAATAGAAAATCAGTGAAAAAATAATTTCAGTTCAGTAAAAATAATTTAAATTCGGCAAAAATAATTTCAGTTCAGAAAAATTAAGGTGAAGTGAACAGGGCCTTATTCATGAAAAAAAAAAAATATTCAAGTTACTATTCACAAAAAAAAAAATACTTTCTCTCTCATATACATTAACCAAACAAATACAGAGTATTTCTAACATCCTCCTCTTAACCATGAACCAAAAAAAAAAATTGTTTATGTTACTATTCACCTATCGGTTTTTTTTCCAAAGTAAGCTTAATTACAAAACAATGTTTTATGCTAGACTCGTGGCCAAACTATTTACCAAACTAAGCTCCTAGGGTAAAACGCTGTCTCTGACAACGTTTTATACCTGGTTTTTTTAAATAAAAATTTAACTTGTAAAACGCTGTTTTTTTTTATTAATTTTGTAATTTCTGACTGAGGCAGCGTTTTTAGCGTTTCTAGTCGCTGATACAAATCAGGGCCAGCTTCTCTCTCTCTCACTCAAATTCCCTCACTTCAATTCTTGACAGGATCTAAGTCGTATCACCTAATTAAAAGTAATTCCTAAGTCCTCTAACTAAAGTAGATAGGGAAGTAGGGTCGAATCCACAGGGAAACAATGTTCTTTTACTCCTAATTAATTATTATAATCTAAATTATCAAGTAACCAATTTGTATTTGTATAAATGAATCTAATAATCAACTAAGTAAATTAACTAAGGGAATAATCAATAATAAAAAGCTCTAGGGTATAGGTTCACCAATAAATAATACTTCAGGGTAAAACATACGATCAATTATCAATGCATAAATTAACTAGATTTTAAAGGGCTGTCGCTACGTATTATAGTCACATAATTAATCTACTGGTATTAAATCTCATCTCTCGAATCTCGACCTAACCATTAATAGATTAACATTCCTATTGAAACTAAGCCTAAACATCAATTCTCATCTGTCGAATCTCGAATCAATATTGCATAACTCATACAATTAAACCAGGCCTAATCTAATTGCATAACATTAAATCAATCAATAGGAAATTAACCAATCATCAATAATAAATATAATAGTTTACCCCTTCGTATTATTCATGGATCCCCACAAACCCTAGAAATAAAACTACTCACATATATTTAAATCTAAACTAAGCAAAGCGTATAAAGGAAGCATGATTAAAACAATAATTATAAATTAATATGAAAATAATTAAACCAAAGAGAAAACAAAGAAAAGAATATTAAAACTAAGTAATAATAATAAACTTGATAAGAAAAAAAAGAAAAGGAAACAAAACCTAAACTAAAACTAAAAGAAAATAAAACTAAAGCTAAAAGAAAAGAAAACTCTAACTACCTACGTACTACCCCCTTAAATAGCCAAGCTAATGGGCTTTTTTGCAAATCCCACTAAGAATAGAACTCTAAAGGAAATTAAAACCGACATTATAAGTCAACAGCAAACTCGCAAGACATTCGCCCGATCGGGCATTGGGCTGATTGATCGGGCCCGGTCAAACTAGCAGCGAGCTGGACTTCTTTCACAAGAATTGGGCTTTGCACTTGAACCTTGTTAACTTGAGTCCAAATTCTTATCTTGAATGATTCATGTACTAGCTTGTAAAAGTTAGACTTCTTTATTAATCAAGCCCTTAATCACCGGACTAAATTCCTTTAGCTCGGTCTTGGGCTTTAAATATACGGTCATGAAATACGATCAGACTCTAATATTTTTGTAGTGGCTTTATAAGCTCGGGAATTATCATAATTCTGCAAATTCCTACAAAATAAAACCAACTCTACAAAAACACTAGAAAACGTATATTAGTAATAAAAATAGCTCCATATAGCTCAAATAAGCACAAATATGACCGTGGGACGGGGAATAAAAATATATATAAAATAGACTTATCAATTCTCTCACTCAATCTTTTTCTCACTCACTCTCTTTGTGACTCAACTGAAATTCCCCCCGACCGCCGTCTCCCTCCGAAGACCGCCCGCCGACAGCCCAGACGCCCTAACTTCACTTCTTGTCGAATTTGGTACTTGCCCCCTCTCTCTTTGGTTTTTAAAATCTAGGTTTTTTTGATAATTGTTGATATTTTTTGTGAATGTTAGTGTTGATAATGTTAAATTGTTAGTGTTGATAATGTTGAATTGTTAGTGTTGATAATTGTTGAATTGTTAGTGTAGATAAATGTTGAATTGTTAGTGTTGATAATTGTTGAATTGTTAGTGTAGATAATTGTTGAAAATGTTGAATTGTTAGCGTAGATAATCGTTGATAATGTTGATAATTGTTGATAATGGTTGATAATTGTAAGTTTTTGAGTAATTGTGATAGCTTACATTGTTGTTTAATAATGGTGACTTAGTGCTTCTAAGTTGTTGTAATTTGAAAAGTATGTCTACATTGTTGTTTGATTATAGTGATTTAGTGCTTCTAAGTTGTTGTGATTTGAAAAGTATGTCTACATTGTTGTTTAATTATGATGATTTAGTGCCTTTAAGTAAAATGTGTTTTGGTTGTTATGTAGAATATAGCTGCACAAAATGTAGTTTTGTTATGCCGGTGGGGAGGTGAAATTTTGTTTGTTGGACCAAATGTCGTGTATAATGGAGGAAATATGGAACCACTAACACTTGAACCGGACATGACTTTTAATGATTTGATGAACGAGGTTCATAGTAATATTGGTTCAAACCCAATGAATGTTCAACTAAACATTAAAATGAGGTTTGAAACTTTCAATGGGGTTCAAGTGTTACATGTTTCTACAGATAAACATTTGAAAGCTTTGAGGAGCGTCGTTGCAATGAAGGGTGTTCCCACTGAGATATATGTAGAAATGGTGCCTATATGTACCCAACAAAGTACTCGGCCTGAACAACAAGCTACATATATTTCCGGTTACAACACAGAATCCTTGCGAATGCCTTCACACAACATTCCATCAAATGAATATGGGATGGGATCTTTCAGTAGAATGTTGCACGACGATAAATTTCACATGCCGTTGAGTTTTCATATAGCTTCACATGTACTTGGGGGGGCATCTGTGGCAATGTCCGGCCAACCTGGTCCTTCGACATCAAACACCGTCATACCTTCACCGATGCAATTGCATAGTTATTCACCTATGCAAGATGATGTCCAAGCATCACTATCTCAACCTATGGTAAATCATCTTGAAAATCTTGAAATATTGTGAATAACGAATTGTCTGTGTATGATGTGTATGCGGAAATAAATAATGAGGTTGAGAGCGGAGAGGAGGAAGATGGACTTGACAACATGGATGTTGAACCCGCACACATGGAAGTTGGTGAGGCCATGGTTAGAACTCCCATACCTTGGTTCAGTTAGATAAACGAGAACTATGAAGTTGATCAGTGTTGGGCCGAATTGGGTAGCCATACATCGTTTGTTCTCGAGGGAGAATTTGAGAAGGGCATGTTTTTTGAAAGTAATAAAAAGCTTCAAGAAATGGTGAAGATGTATTCTATACAGGGGAATCAATTCTACACCACACTGACCTTGACTGAGAATGTCCTTCATCTGTGGTGTAAGAAGAAATGTGGTTGGTCGCTACGGGGTACTAAAACAAGTGAGCACTCGCATGGCTTTACCCTAGTCACATAAAAAGGCCCGCACTAGGATAACTGTGTCACTGAAGTACTATCTACTGATCACCCACACTTGGATTCGTCCATAATATCTGAGTATGTGAAGTCCTTTGTGCAAAAAGATCCATCCTTGAAAGTTGAATTCATACAGGATCTCATCTCCAAGCAATTTCATTTCAATGTTCCGTATCAAAGAGCATGGTATGCCAAGGAGAAAGCTGCAAGCTAATATGTTCAAGGCTGCTGCGTACCAAAGGCAAGAAAGAAAACTACAAGCTGATTTGTGATCGATCAGTCAGGCATGTACTAAGGCCATAGAGTATATTGTCCAAGTATCGTTTCCTATGTGGTCTTTGTTTCACGACGCTGGTCGCAGATATGGGATATGTACTACAAACTTCTCTGAAACATTTAACAATGTGTTGAAGGGAGCTCGGTTTCTACCGATCATGTCCCTTGTCGAGTTAACGTTCCATAGAGTTAACAGGTATTTCACTTTAAGAAGGGAATCTTCTGAGGCTAGGTCTGAACAAGGACTTGCATACCCCCCCAAGGTCACTGCCATTCTAGAGAAGAACACCGCAAAAGCAAGATATCACAGATTGGATGCATATAACCGCCAACTGCATATATATCAAGTTACATCAGAAAGGGGAGAGCGACTTGGTAGAAAAGGAGGTCATAAACATACTGTTAACTTTCAGTTGAGAATGTGTACATGCAACAATCCACGGATATTCCACCTCCCATGTTCTCATGTTCTAGCAGTTTGTGCGAAGTATTCACTATCAGAGCAGCCATGGGTGGACAGTGTGCTACAATCGAAGGCCTATACAAACACCTATGCACCACAGTTCTGGCCTATCCCCTATGAGACGACCTGGACAGAGTACGGCGACCCTAAACTCACTCCGGACGGCAGCATGGTACGAGGACAAGGTCGGCCTAAGTCAAAGCGCATACGCAATGAAATGGATGAGACTAACCGCCCCCCGAGAAAATGCAGCCGCTGTCACCAACAGGGTCACAACCAAAGAACGTGTCCATCTAGATCGACCGGGACCTAAGTTTTTATTTGCAAGAATGTTGTAGTAGAATACTAGATTGATTTTGTATTTGAATTCGTAACATTTGGAACATTTCTATTTTGAAGTTTGACACTTGAAATTTTCCGTTTGTCGT